AACAGACATGCCTGTGACAGAACAACAAAAAACACTGCCTATTCCAAGTGAATTGTGTACAGAATGGTTGAAAACAGAAATATTAGATTTTATTACTCTGAGACAGGGTAATGGCCAACATCTAGGAAATTTGTGTTGCCACTATCTGTGCCACACACAGTTTATGGATTGAGGCTATCATCTTCTATCATTCAGTCCAATACAACAGGATCAAGAAAAACAAAATTCCTGGAATATACTACCATGCTATCTTTCTCCTAACAGACACAAAACATAAAGTAATAAAATACTTTGAAAGTGTGATTGAAAATTGTATTTCTTGTGGCATTTGACACACTCCAGGAACCAAAATCCATATATTAAATTTCATGAGTATGAGTAACATACTATTCTAAATCTAATGATCACAAAAGGGTCTCAGAAGACTGGAGAAGTATCTGGAAGAAATCTCTTGAGGTAGCAAGTTACAAAGATGAACTACTTAGGAGCTCAGAAATCCTGACTTGAAAATAAGCACAGACCAGACGAAGACTTAACGGCACCACAAACCTTTGACTTGCTCTTCTTCACACATCTACATAGAGACTGACCCCTGGGCTAGACAGAGCCCTAGTCTGAACCAGTATGGTTGTTCTGTTCTTAATCATGGCAAGTCAGCAATGCCCCTGTTCAAGAGGCTGATATTATTAAACTCATTTTTAAAATTTTACTTTACTTGTGTATATAGAGCTGTGACTAAATGACCATTCAACTAGGCCAGCAGAGAACAAAATATATAAGAAAAACTTGCAACAATGTATTAGAACACAAAGTGCTATTAATATACATTTTGCATACTCAAAAATTGCAGCATTTTCTTTCCTTGACCTTGTTTAACAATGGAGAGTGAAAGTGCTGAAAATTACTAAATCTTCTGCAACAAACATAACACCTGCTGTGATGCTCTAAATAAAATATGAGAAACACAAAATTAATAGCTTACAGATGATTATATAAAGATGTTACCTTGAGTTAATTTTAAGGTAGGAAATACAGAATAAAGGCATAGGATGTTGAAGTTATGAACAATTATGAAGTTACGAATTGTTAACAAGCTAAGTTCAGCACCAGTAACTAGTGAAAATGTTAACATCTGTGTGGCTCTGTGGCATCTATGGTTTTTCCAAGTAAAAGATAATGACAATGTGAATGCAGCATTGTGGTTTCTGCAATTGATAAATGTCTTTCAAGACACAACTTTTTAATGTTCTCTGCTACCGAAGGCAAAAGGCTGTATTCAATGGTAACCTGTGATTCTGGATTCTGTATTTGGGGTTCTAAACCAGAAATACCTAAACAAGGCCTGATTTTCAGAAAGCATTGAATATCCACATACTATGGGAACCAGGCATCTTTAACAGCAGTGATAATTCTCAAAATTCATGCAAAAAAACCAGTTGATGAGATATAAAAATAATGTACACTATTTTGGTGTTTAAGTAGGAAAACATAAAAGTGGCAGTAGATACCTAAAATTCATTTACAGCAGCTATTCAAACAGAAGGTAAAGAAGTGTTATTCAAAGAAAATAAATTTAATCAGTTCAGACAACGTTTCACAGTCCTTAAAATACATACCTTAGCTAAAAACATAAAGTCACTCACAATACCATTAGAGTGTAACCATGAAGAGGAGTACCGCCATAGTAAGAGCTCCCCATTCCTTACAAATTTAAACTTAAGCATTAAATATTCTTCTACTAATGCTCCAGATTTGAAGAACTGTGGGTAATTTGCAATGCCTATCACTTCCCAGATGGAGTTCTATCTTATTTTCAGGTCTCTCAGAAAACTCAGGTGTTTTCTTATACATTTAGCAACACATGCATAAACTTGTAACTTTGGTCTTTCAACACACAGCATAGAGGCAAATATTAAAGTCTTTGAGTCTTCAGAGGCAGTTTAGTTCTCATCCCTTTCTAACACGCCGAGGTGCCCCATCTGCTGGTAGGAGTGTTACTCTAAGGAATTCTGCCCCTGAGCTGGTAACTGATACTGTTTTCAACTTTACCACTTGATAACTGTCTGAGGTGTTTTAAATGCTGCAATACAAAAGCAATCAGATCAAATACTTTTAAAGAAAACCATAAAATGCCCTAACACAGTTCATTCATTCTTAACTTTGCAAGATATTTTTACTAAATGCTTCTGTGACCTTCCAGCTCTAGGCTATTCTTCAGTCAATAGAAACTGGAAACATCAACTCATTTATTGTAAATACTTTAGCACGATTTACATTGATTCATAAAGATGCTAAAGTGCACTTTTCAACCTGAGAGAACATAAATGGAAGACTGTTCTTTTCTCCTGATCGAAATAGAGTACATATACATACTTAAAAAGTAAAAAACAAACCACCTATCAGTTCCATATACACAGTTTAGATACATATCTGTGTGATATGATTGACTTAGTCATCATAATTTAGATGGGAATAAAAAAATTACGATCACTAAGGTAAGTAAACCAAATGTTTCTTCCTTCTCCATAGTCTAAAAAAAAAAAAAAAAAAGAATATCCTTTCCCACAAAGGAAAATTATTAGCTTGTGATGAAAGAGGACATTATTAAGCATATAAGAACAGATAAAATATACAAAAGTGGCTAAATAGTGGCTAAATACTACACAAATTGAGTGGAGCTCTGGTTCAATCACAACTTAAACTACTACAGTCATCTCAACTTAGAACACTCAGTTCTGAGAAATCCCCATTAATATTGGACTCTTCAAAACATAAAAGCCTTAATGCATAGCCTGAGTGTAAGGACTCAATCCAAAACATTTACACTTAAAAATAGTCACAGTTATTCCTCTGACTAACTGAAAGTACAGAGTTTTGAAGCTCTGAATTACCTCTTCTCTCTGATCATACAGATTTTAGGCTTTTAACCGTGCTTTGAGTTTTACCCAAACCAGATGTTGAAAGTAAATCACGCAAACATCCCGAGTGTCTGCACATTCCCATTAGAGGTAAAGAGGACACACATTCACTGCCTGGATTTAAATGAGCAATCCCAAGCAGGTGTTTTGGCGGGGGGGGGAATACAATCTGTTTGAAGTTAAAAGGATGAGGAAAAAAAATAGTTGACCTGCATTTTCAATCAGTTGTTTTATGCTTACACCGGAAAATGGGCAACTTCAGGCAACACTAGACAGCCAAAATCAATTCCCAGAAGGTAAAGCAGTGCTGTCACAGTCACCAGGGATTTATGTGCTCGTGATCCCAGAAAGGGAGGGAATGTGGGAGCCTAACACCAAGCGAATCCTCGGTGTCGCCGCGCCCTCTGCTGCCCAGGACGGCCCGCGTGTAACGGCGCGACAGCGAGACTCCCTAGGAAATCACAGCAAGGGACAGCCAGAGCTCGCTGCCTCTCTACGAGCTGCCTTCCAGAAGATAAAGTGTGGTTTCAGATATTTCCCAAGAGTTACGTTATTCCTTTATTCATTTTTTAGACCCGCATGCTCTGAAGTGTTGCCAACACTAATATACTTCATTTATATTGAATTTCCAAGGTTTGGGAGACCTAAAACAGTCAGATTTCTTCAAAAATCGGCTTTGCTGTTAATGACTGACTCCAAGCAGGCATGGTAACACCGATTCAGAATAATAATTTTTCTTTATGCTCAGAAGGCAAAGCAGACTGGCCATTATTTCAACTTTTTAATAATTTTATATAGCAGCAACAACTTAGATTTTATATTTTTATATCAAATTCAACACATCCATAACTTCACTTGTCAGTAGAATGAGGCTCTGGAACAGTCAACAAACATTAAGCAGATGATGTCGCAATTTAAGACAAAAGGTCAAATTCAGACATCTGGACATCAGTATTGTACAATCTAAATTTACATTGCTGCTAGCAGAAACATCCATCAGCCCTTTTTTCATATCTTAGCCTCTTCCTTCTAAGTCTGTTCTTCAAGCAACACCCAAGATACAACAAATATACTAAAGACAACTTCCAAGGAGAAACAAAGGTACTTTTTTCCTCCATTTAATGTTTAAGAAAAAGAGGTTTAAAAATCCTGGGAAAGAAGATTGAGGAACTATGTTAGTATGCTGGTACAAGGGATGTTCTTTTTCTCTCTAGGAAGATTTACTGAAGTCCTAAATTTTGAAAGTAAGAAAATAATTGTGCCTGCCATGGCAAATACATGTTAGATGCAAGAAAGCATGTCTTCCACCAGAAAGGACACTTTCTGTGCATTCTTATGAAAGATATGTTCCTGTGCAAGGGCATTTCAGAAGACTAATATTTGAATCCAGAGGCATAATCAGCCCTATATCTGGAAAAGCTTACACAGAAAACATTTTTACTACACATTTTAAAAACAAAAGCTTCATTGGACTGACTAAATTACCAAAGAACGGAAAAAAAAATTCATTAAAGCTAGGAGGAAAATTCACTCTGAGTATTGAGCAATTAACCCTTGAAACGAACTGAAGTGGGAAGACCCCTTACATCACAACAAGACACCATTCTGAGATGCAAAATCCATCTGACTTGACCCACCTCCTCCAGGAGATGTCACACAGGCTGTCAGAAAGGTAAAGGTCTTCAAAATATTATTCCAGTGTTGGCAGGTAGTTGCTTAATGACTCAGGACAGAATCTGTGTGCATACCATAGTGCTCATAGGCCATTGTGATAAAACACGGATATAGATCATGAGAAATGACCTAGCAGAAATCTAACTTCTTAAGGTCTAAAATACTGACATTAGTAAAATTTTAAAAAACCCAAAACCACCAAATTCCAAGCTAATGGAACTAACTGTGGGTACAGTGAAGGATTAGGCGGCAAGTTCATAATAATCTTATAAAGCATCTCCTCAAATTCTGAGTACATTGGAACTGTTAAATACACACAAGCAAGGATGTTATTTCCAGAAGAGCATTGTTTAATACAATATTTTTAAGTCTGATGATTGAGCCAGAAAGTATCTTGCTTTACATTACCTTGACTGTTTTGTCCATAGAAGCTGAGAGAAGCATGTGACTTTGTTCCCGTACAGGACACCACTGGATTTCATTAACTGGGCCGCTGTGTTTAGACATGCAAAATATTAAGCTTTTGGGAATTTCAGTCACTTTATATTTAGATCCCAAATATGGCTTAATTAAATCAGAGATCTTTCTCAAAGTCTGTTCTCCTGATACACTAAACTTAACATCACAATCTGAGCTACCTCTCTGGTCAGCTTCTTCTTTTTCAGGTTTACTGGAATTTTCTTGACGCAGTCGTTTAGGGATATATGGTCTAATTCCTGTTATGGTAGTAGTGTTGTCTTTATGTGTTCTCTTCTGGGAAACACCATTTCCAGAATTTGTTGAAGAGCTTGAAGCCTGTTCATAGTTTTTGTAAGCCACAGATAATGCAGCATGGCCAGAGTACACCCTGGGACAATAGGGACGTGCCGTGTCAGTGTTGTTATTCTGTGCATAATGCTCAGGGGGATCTTCACAAACCCTGCTCCTGCCAGATCTGCCAGCGCTCCCAGAAGGGTGCATTTCATATGCAGATTTTGTACTACCAGGTGCAAAGTGCTGAACACAACTCACAGAAGAACTCAGCTGGTTTGTTTGTCTGCCAGAAGCATCGAGGGCTTCAGTCTTTTCAGCTTCTGTCTCAGAGTCTGAATCTTCATAAGCAACCAAACTCATTATGGCTAGACACAGCAGACTCCAGAGATCTCAGTGCTGCAATCCTCCAAAATTATGATCTAAAATAAAGAATTGATTATTCAGAGCACAATTAATTACAGAGTCTACAATTTGAGTAACTAAGGGATATAAATATGCCTTTCTTAAAGAAAAATTTCAAACCTCTTATTTCTGTTTATTAATGGAATTTATTCCTCTATTATAACACACTGTACATTCTATTAAACAACACGATTTGCCTCCAAGCCCTTTGCATACATTTTTAATGCATTGCAGAGGTGTATTTGCATACCACAAAACAATGACAATGAGGATGAAAAGGAAAACAACCTTGCAATATAAATACAGCAAATTACTTTGCCTTACTTCCAGCATTACTTCTATACACACACATAGAAGAAATTATTTAATTATGTAGTGGTTTTGTATGTACATTCATAAGAATATAAATACTACAAATCTTTTGGAGTCAGTCTAACAATATCTATATCTTAACAGTACAGATGACTTGAAAGAAGTGTGTAGGGGTTCAACTGGCAGTAAAAATGTGAACACATTTTTGACCCCTTCAGCAGCCTTGCAGTATAAGGAAATTTTCCAACTATATCCACAGAGCATGTTCCACACAGCCTTTAGTTTTACAGATGAGGTATGTCAGAAGCTACATTGAATTCATATTTGCATCTACTTACAGAAAAACGAGAGCATAGATGCCTCAACTGTGAAATAAGTTTTTTTCATTATGTACAGGAGAAAGAAATCTCATGCTAAGACAACATATGTAACCTGCAGAATAATTCACCCTCCTAAAAATCCAAGATTTTTCCAAATATTTGTATGGAGTATGTACAGTATAGAGTTAACTACATTCAAACAACTGATGTGTCTGCAAAGTAATATTTCTGCTCTGCTGTTTATAGGCAGGAAGTACTGGTAAGACTGATTAAATGTGACATTTTATTACTGCTTTGTTTCCCTGCCAAGCTGTTAGCACTCATTACGCTGACGAGATTTAACCCACAACACTTTCAGACAGGCTGCTGAAATTCTTGGTTCAGGTCAGCAAACAAACTGCCCTCAAAAGCATCTTGATGACAACAGGGAATGCAGCATGAAAGTCAGTATCTTCATAATCATTTGCAGAATTGACACCACAAATGAAGGGACACCACAAACATAGGTCCTACAAATACTTCTGTAGCAGTAGGACTCTGGAGCTTGCAAAGATTATTCATTTAACTTCAGAATTAGATCTATTTGAATTAAAATAACCATGTTTCATGTAACCTACAGAAGAGTTACATGACTATATATTCTGTTAGCAAATTTCTAAGCACAGATCCAGAATATAGGTACTTATTAAGATACACACATTCATCATCACAGATCTTTCCCAAGATAAGTGATCAAGACATTAACTGGAACAAGATGACCAACATTTCAGCACATAAAAGCAACAAGATCTCCCTCTAGAGGACATTTTGTCATTATCTGAAGTTTAAGACGGCTATAAGTAACAGCAAACAAGAGCAAGGAAAACATCTTTTTTTTTTACAATACAGTTTTTAATTCATTACAACAATATTTTATTTAAATAGTGTCAAAAAAAAAAAGTAGTGTTTCATGAAAACTAACAAACCAATTCAAAAACAGTAAATTGAAGTTCCTAGCAGTAAATTGCAACATCAAATAAATAGGAGCTTTGAAGGGCTTCACTTCAGTAATTGTATCAAGTGGTTACTGTTTGTGTTGTAGTGCTTAACACATTTCCCAGAAAAATGCATCACGCCCAAAGAACAAATAGAGCAAGAAGCTGACCTCTGGCTAAAAGCTATAAACTAGGATACACAAGTGGATTGGGTTAGACTTACAAAGTTACTTTAGCTTAACACAAAAGAACCCCAAACTGAGATTCAGAAGGGCGAGATAATGCCTTGCAAACACAAGGTAAAAAATGTCTTCCATGAGATACTGAAAAGAAACTGTTCCATTACATTTGGTCATCATAAATCCATCCCACCACACACATCACCCATAAACGTCAGTATTTTGGTAAAATCAAAGCTTCTCTCTCATCTGAAGACTTCCTATCAACTTTTGTTTTTCAAGAAACACCAGCCAGAGAAACTGCCCTAACGAAAGAAAAATAGGGGGTCCGGGAGAAACCACAATATACTTGATTGGAAACATCCTGTAACTAAACTGTGAGTTTATCAATGATGTGATGTGCAATGTATTGAACTAAAAGAGAAGTTTACAGCATTTTGGTTTTCCTCGTCTTCCACAAGACTGATTTATCTGAACGCATTGAGTGTTCAGCTAAGGGGCACAGAGCCCGTGGATGCCAGCAGAGGTTTGCTAAGGGACTGAGCACCGCAGGTCGCTCACGGCGGGGCCCCGGGGCGGGCAGACGGGAGGCACGGCCCTGCCCGGGGCGCTTCCTCGCTCCTAACGCCCCACAGCCCCGAGGGGGAAAGAACAAGCTACTGGAGAGGGTTCAGTCGAGGCCACAGAATATAAGGGGTCTGGAGCATCTCTCTTATGAGAGACTGTGGGAAATGTGTTTAGTCTGGAGAGGAGTGAGGGGATCTCATGAATTCACACAAATGTCTCAACGGCCAGTGCCCAGAGAATGGTGCAAGGCTCTATTCGGTGGTGCCCAGTGACAGGACGAGGTGCAATGGCCATAAAACTAAAACACAAGAAGTTCCACCTCAACTCGAGGAAGCACTTCTTTTCCTGAAGGATGGCAGAGCACTGGGCTGCTCAGTGAAGGCATGGATTCTCTCCGTCTGGAGACATTCGGAACCCACCCGGACGCGTTACTGTGTAACCTGCTCTGGGTGACCCTGCCTGGGCACATGGCTGGCCTGGATAACCTCCAGAGGGCCCTTCCAGCCCGAACAATTCTGCAAACAACCGGCCCTTTCCAGTCCCTCCGGATCAGCCTCAAACGAGGAAGCGGGTCCCGGGAGGGCCCCGGCAACTGAGGCCGGCTCCTCCCTCTCTTCCGCAGTGCCGCTACCTCTCCCCAGCGCCCCGGGTGCCGAGCCCACCCGTGGTGCCGGGACAACAGCACCCGGCACCATTCCGGTTCCGATTCCCGTTCGGATTCCCGTTCCCACCCCCGCGGTACCTGCGCTCCCGGCAGCGCACCCGGAACTCACCTGCCGGTCGCCGCCGCGCCGCTTCTAAAACCGCCCCGGGTGAAAGCAAGACACCCCACCCAACAGTTCCGCATGTCACAGCCCCCGCGCTGGGGCCGCGTGTTGAGAAGGGCAGGGGTCAGACCGCGGCTCCTTGAGCGGGCAGAAGCGCCTTTTTCGCCGCTGCCAGCGGGATGGAGAGCGCTCCCTTGGGCTGGTGTCTGCAGCACTGTGTCTGAATGACTGTGTGAAGTAATGGTTCCGGGAGGTTGTGTTTCCCAGCCGGGAGCAGCGCCGGCCGTGCCGGCTGGGGTGATGCAATGGTGGTGACAGAGGAGCTTCGGGTGAGGAGCGGCGGGATGGGCCGGCACCGGCACGGGGATGGGACGGGCACGGGATGGGCCCTCGCGGAGAGACCCCGGCGGGCGGGAGAGGGGCTGGTTGGGTGGTCACTGCCGCCCCTGTGACCGGTGCGAGGTGCCGGGTGTGGAGGTTCACTGCCGGGCACGTTTTCTCCTTCCCCTAGAGATGCGCGATGCACTTGAGAGATTTTCCTCCGTTCCCTGCGGGGCTACCTCGCCAAAAAGTCAGGTGAAAAAGCCCTTTTCCTTGGGAAGGGCAGGACGGGTGTGCAGGTCACTGGGAAATGCGTCCCACCGCAGGAAGGGCAGAGCTGGCGAGTGGCTTTGCTGTGCCCGGGCAGGGCGTGGCAGGGAATGCTGCAGGACGCCAGGGTTAGGGAACATTGGCGTGTTGGGTGATTGTGTGCACGGCAGGAGCTTTGCTCTTATACCGCTGCAGTGTAGCAAAGATTCGTGTCGGGCTTTCTTGTGGTGACTCCTCAGTCTTTGAATGGTCGTGTTATCTGTCATCTTGAGGAATCGTCCTGTACACTGTTATTGTTATTTCGTGCCTAAATTAATGCTTGCCGTGACTGGGAAGGTAGGTCTGCTATAAAGTGCAGCCTTTCAAGGCCTGTTTCACATGACATCTTGGGGATGCTGCCTACTCATGACATCTTGGGGATGCTGCCTACTTTAATTTTACTTTTCTTTTTCGTTTTGATTTTTTTTTACAGGAGGAAATACAGTTTTCAGGAATGTAAGTGCTTTTTGACTTAGTCTTGCATTCTTTTATTTGCTCATGGAAGTTTGTTCTGGACTGTTGTATTACTGTTGTCTCTGGAAGTCATAATGTACTTTCATGCAATGTTTGTCTTCTTAACTTAATGTGAAACCCTATTTTTTAATTCTCAGGTGTCTAACTTACCAAGTCAGACTGCAGACAGTGAAAATGATCATAGATCTGTGATGGTCAGCCCGTTGGAAAGAGGGGGGAAGATGCAGTAGTTTTCTGATACCTTTGCCAAGGATTTTGAGCTTTGTCTCATAGCAGTTTAATATTTTGAAATGGACACAGGTGCAGTACCCATTATAAGTTACCTGCATTTCAGGTAGAAGAAGCACACATGTCTTGGCTTTCAAGTTCACACTGGGTCATTCTAGACTCTGGTCCTAAATATCCTAGTAGTTCATTCTCCAATTCCCATGCATCTTTTTTTTCCTCCAGATATGCTTGCTTATGGTATGTAATCTGTCTGGGACTGTTAATTTTTATAATATCAATAAGAAAGCAAGAAAAAAAATCTTGGTAAATAGTAGAATATCCAGACATTCGTTTTTTATGGTTCACCATTGCATTAATGAATTTCAAAAGGTAAAGACCTCTGTTCCACATTACTTAATTCCTGTCTTGAATTCTACTGAAAAATAGGGTCAGTACTGAGGTAAATAAAGATAATCTTTAGGTAGCAGTCCATATGTTTTGCATTTTATAATCACAATATCCTCATCTTGTTGTACCACCTAGATTAATTTTGCTACTTCTTAATGAAGATGCACCTTCATTTGAGATTCTCTTTTCAGCTTAAATCCATAATATTCCAGACATTTTAAGGAGTCTGTTTTGCTGCTTTCCAGAAATGTGCGAAGTGTCAGCTCTCATTTCAGCCTTTCTGAATGGAGGCAATCTATCAGTAAGACTGTACTATAAGGAATTAAGTTAAAACAACGAGTCACAATTTGTTCTACACCAAAGAAAATTCTTAATTATGTCTTTATTATTTTGTTAAATTTGAAGCCAGTAAATATAAATGGCATGTTCCTACAGAAAGGGTGTGTGTTAATCTTCATAAACATTTTCTAATATGTTTATAAATTTATAATATTTATTCTATACTTTCTTTAATACTTAAAATATTCTTTGCCCATGAAGAAGAGGAAGGTAATATCCAAATAAAAAATATAATGAAATTGTAGGAATGCATCAAAAACTGTTTGATCTGCTTCAAATTACTTTTTTTCATCACACTGTTGAACTGCAAAAAGTCAAGTTTGAAGGGATCAAATTAGCTTAAAAACTTAATTAGTGTTATGTAATCTAAGTATGGTAATCCAAGAGTTAAATAGAGTAAAAAAATTAACATTAACAAGTGGATGTATCCACTTCTCAGTTTTCTCAGGGTATTCAGCTGAAGCTGAAATATGGGAATATTGCAGCTGACTGACAAACAAAGCCTTAACGATAGCTATGTTTTGCTAACCACCCATTAGCAAATGGACCTTCAAAGTTTGCTAGGCAGGTGAAGGCTTTTTACAATAGCAGTTTAAATAAGCACTATGTACATGTAACCAAGGTTATGATTAAACTGATTGTTTTGTAGAAGGAAGTCTTTGAAGTATTGCTGAACAGCTAATGCAACTATTATATGCTTCTGGAGGTTTGGTTTTGTTTGGATTTTTTGTTTGTTTCAATTCTGGGAAAAGGGAGCTAAAGGAATGTGTATTTTTACTAACACTCAGTCGATCTGTGCTGCATGCACAGCAGTGGATCAGTAATTTGCTAGGGGGTCTCTCCAGAAAGACAAGACTTTTGCAAGTCAGTAGTTTTTCACATGGGCACAGAGCTTCCCACTTGGTGGGCATGGGCCGTGCTTAGGGAGACTGCTGTGTTCTTAGTCTCAGCCATCTCCTCATCTTACACCATCTCCTTTTTTCTGCATAGTTCTGAGAAACACTGGCAAATTTACAGCCTATTGCTGACCCAAGGATTCTTTGGAAGGCAGCATCTCTCACCAGTCATCAATGTGTTTTGTAACCTCTGGAGAAAAGCCATAAAGGAGATGACTGAGCTTTGCTCTTGTGTATCTTTTTTGGGGCAGAAGTACTCTACTGCATATACTGAGACAAAATTCCGTATCGTAGTTATGAAAGTCTCATCATTTGACAGGGTATCAGTGCAGGAACATTAATTAATCAGGAATCACATAGCCTCTACCAGTTGTTCTGAGATGCTCTGAACTCTATATACATGTATTTAATTATTTTCATTTTGCCAGGAATTTGACTTTGAAAAGGTATTCTAGTGTTACATAGAGAGACAGCATGAACAGTGATGTCTAAATTTACCTGATACTCTTGTCAGTCTCTGTCCATTTTTGTGTGAAACTGAAGCTCACTGTGTACTGTCTCCACATTTATCAATTTGATATTAATAGAACGTGGTAGGGATCAAGATAGTTTTTATTTTCTTATTCTGTTTACCTAATCTTGAAGACTTACACTAAAGAGTAAAACATACTACTTTCTGCCCTGCAGTTCTCTTTGTTGCTGCTCTTTTGAATCTCCAAGCCAAAGAGTTGGAAGAGGATAAATTCAGTTAAGCTGTTCCTAAACAGATCTTTGTGCAGTCTGGCAAAATGGCAGACAACCCGAACTGTGATTTGCAGTCTCTGAGTCCACTTCAGCTGTTTGAAAGAGTGACTGAACAAGGAGAGAAAGTCAGAGCACTGAAAGCAGGAAAAGCACCAAAGGTATTTGCATTTCATGGTTGGGACCCCATCTCTTTTGAGTGCTGAAGAATTTTATTGTTCTAAGATCTGTTTTGCATTGTGATGAGAAAATCTCTTGTTAAAAACTGCTTATGTCCATTTTGTGAACTGTGGCATACCTGGAGTAAGGTAGTCACTAGCAAGACCAAAATTTTTACTCTTGAAGTAAGAACAGAGACCTAGACTTAGAAGTCTGCTTTATCCAGTTGCCATACCATATGACAGGATCCAAGGCATTTATTTCTCAAGCAAATTTATGTCACTTGCATTCTTGCCTGGTTTTAGATGGTTCATGAAAATCTTTTTCTCCAGACATTTTTGTAGACATTATCAAATATGTCTTCCTTTAACTGTACTGACA